GTACTTGCGTGTCATGTCTTTTATTTTGACAGGACCGTCCACTTTTATAGTCCAATACAATTGTTATGCAATAATAATACAGAATGTAGTTCATAAACTTGTTTTGCCCATTACAATTCCATATTTTGTTTGCATGTCTCGCGCACAGACACATGTGCGTGCACAAACCAGGACATGCTCTGTAAACAGGGAGTCCTCTAATTGTCAAATATTTAAGCTCAACAGCTTCCTGTCGTCAGAGAAAAGTAAAACTAACGGTGACAGTACTTGCATGTCATGTCTTTTATTTTGACAGGACCGTCCACTTTTATAGTCCAATACAATTTTTATGCAATAATAATACAGAATGTAGTTCATAAACTTGTTTTGCCCATTACAATTCCATATTTTGTTTGCATGTCTCGCGCACAGACACATGTGCGTGCACAAACCAGGACATGCTCTGTAAACAGGGAGTCCTCTAATTGTAAAATATTTAAGCTCAACAGCTTCCTGTCGTCTTGAAGCTTCTTCCTGTGATAGCAGCCGGTTAAAAACCGTAGAAACTCCACTCATGCGCGCAGCCAAAACAAAGGTGCTTAACCTGACTGCTTAAAATGTCTGGATAGAAGCTGATTGGTGGTCTAATTAAACCATAATCTGCACTGACCCGCATCTTACAGTTATTTTGTAAAGGGCACATTTGTAAACAACTTTATGAGGTATTTTTCACTGTTTTATGGAGGCACAAATGCCGCTGACAAATGTCACCACTTCAAAGCTAATGGGCACATGTCTGACCTCATGTCACGATGTGTTTTAATGGTACAACAAATTGTAGTGTTTAATGCAGTGTGAACATCATCAGCTCTGGGTTTTACATTATGGTGTGGAGGACAGATAGAAAGACTAACTCAACAGCTTCCTGTCAAGTCTGCATATGATTCAGATACAATACAAAAGACTTCAGAGGAAGATAAGAACAGAAAAGTTTGTGCACAGTTTTACTTGTGTTTTTTTTTTGGTGACTTATTAAGTGGATTCTGACGAAAAGAACAAAGGCATTATATTAGGATAGGCAATATAGGCTTTATTATTAAACACCATTTAGTTAAAGATGAGCTTGTAACGCCACTCTACTACAAACAACTAATAGTAGTGATTGCAAGTCTGTAATGCATGCTGTTATTAGTATCTGTAATTTTAGAAAGCCCTTTTTATATATATTTAAGTTAATTAAATGTAATTTAATTATGGGTTATTCAATAATTTTTTAATAAGCTCTGTTTAGGTAATTTCTGTAATCAGCCGAGCAGTGATGTCAGAACAGTTTTCTCTGATTCAAAGCAGACGACTTTGATGGTTGTGTGTGTGTTTTATGCAAGGTCAGGCTTCTCTGGGGTTTCCATAAAACAGTAGGAGCTGGATTTGTGTAAGTGCATTTTATAGACATGTAGCTAAATTAGACAGGAATGTGTGGAAGTGCAGGAATATGAGAGTGATTTTTGTGTCTGCTGAGGGGTCTGCTTCATCTCCACTAGTAACAAACCTTGTAATTTGGCAGATTGAATGGGTTACTTCATGTAACCTTTGACAGAAGGCTGCGATTATTTAAGCAGTGCTGCATGCTATCAGCATATGGACGCAGAACCATATGCACCTCTCTCCCATTAGCATCTCTAAATCACTCAAACTATGATCGAACTGACCCCGAATACAGCAGACTCGGCTGAGGAAGAGCTGTAGACTCGAAAAACACAACTGGGAATTTGGTTGGAACCGTAGGTCCTGTGGGCGATGTGAGTTTGAGTCACAATTGATCCCATTCCTAAAAAAAAAAAAAGGCTAGGCTTAAATGTCTTGTGTAGACCTGCCATAATTTTTTATATTGTTGGAGAACCTACTTTGAAACTGTACTGTAGCTTTCCAAGTCAAACCAACCTTTTGAAAAAGTAGTCAGCTACACTGTAATATACTAAAAAAATATTCCAAAACTACTTTGAAGCTTCCTGAGGGGAGCAATGTGTTTATTTTTAAATGCACAATTATCAGATGATATAATTTAATCAGATCTTGCACTTATGCACTGATGGTTTTTAATTGTGGATAATTTGAGTGTTACCATTATACTTGAACAGATACCTTTAAGCCGCATACTATAATACTACTACTAGAATCTGTTGACTTTGTATCCGTATATTGGGGTTTGAGATTTCTCAAATGAATGAACATAATTTTTAAGCAGGAAGGTATACGATAGCATTTTCTATTTGCAGACTCTGTGCCTTTTAAGGCAATCTGATTATGTCAGCACCGGCTGACCTTCCTTCATCAACCCAGGTTTACTGGTCAGGAATTCCAGAAATGCAAAAGGAACAAATAAGTGGAGAAACCTGCAAGAACAATTTTTAGAAAATGGCTAATTTTGAAAAACAGCCGCTTTCACTCATGGGAGGAAGAGAGGAGAAAAGCAAAAGGATGGAGAAAAAGACAGATTAGATTTGCAATTCTTGTTCTTTCTAATGTTAAAATGTGAGGGAAAGAAGAGGGAGACATGATTATGAAATTCCAAAAAAGTGTGAAGCAATTGCAAGAAAGCGAGGGAGAGAAAGCAAGACCCAAAGACAGAAGGTAGAGAAGTGAGAGTCTAGCAGCTGGTGCTAAGGAACTCATAACAGAGCCAAAAAAGGAATGAAAGCAAAGCAGCACATGCCGTTGAGTCCAGGAGCCTTTCACCAGCTGCCAAAGTATTCCTGTAAAAGTGCTTTTTTGATGGATTCTTGAACATATGGACAAGGAAAAAAGGGAAAAGGCAGGGCTGTAGGTGGTCATTTATGCCTTTAATGTGGTCCAAATCACCATCTGTGCCGCCAAAACAAAGTTACATCATTTAATCTATTCTTTTCTTCAATGAATCCTTTTATTTGATAAACTTGCACTCTAGGTTTTAGGTTAAGGCTTGGCGAAGTATTACCAACACAAACTGAATACTCCCTTTCTCTTTTTCTTGATCCAAACTTTAAGGATTTATCAGTTGGCGGGAGGGAGGGCTTCCACCTCCATTACAAAAAAATGGAGAGGATGAGGGAAAGCGCAGTGACTCATTAGTCAACATCTGGAAATAATTAGATTAAATGGGGTTTGGAGTGTGGCTGGCCTACCACTCCGATCCCCTTGTGAAGCACACACATCGAAATTACACATTTAATTCAAGTTTTGGATTTCTTTACAGAGCGACCAGCAGAAAAATGTTGAATGCCGCTCTGAATGGGCCTATAGGAGACCATGTGATTAAAATTTCAATGAAAAGCATCTGGACTTGGTTATCGGTTCGTTTATGGTTATCCGTTTGTTTAGGCTTACAGAAAGTGCCAAGATGTTGCCAAAAAAAGGCAGCAGGAGAGTGGGGCTGAGTCTGCAGAAGAAGAGAGACAAATTGCGTTTTGAACAAAACGTGTCTTCGAGGGACACAAGAATGAAGTGAAGTGAAGTGAAGTGACATGTGGCCAAGTATGGTGACCCATACTCTACTCGGAATTAGTAGGCAGCAGGAGAGTGGGGCTGAGTCTGCAGAAGAAGAGAGACAAATTGCGTTTTGAACAAAACGTGTCTTCGAGGGACACAAGAATTTAGATGATGGAAAACTATGACTGTAGGCAGCGAATATCTCATGTTTAGCAGAGAAAAGGACAATGTGGATGTCACTCCAGTGTTGTTGTGTATGTGGGTGAACCATGAGGCCAAACATTTGACAGATAACGCTCAGCCATCAGCCATCAGCCCACACCCATATTCACACGACACATCACTGAGATCTTCATCTCATCCTTTTCCATGCTGTTTACATGCTGTTGACAGTGTAGTTTAAACTTTACCCAAGATAGCATATCACTCGCTCTTCAGTGGACTTTAGTTTCCTTCCCAGAAACTCAGCACAAATACACACAGACATGCATAACCACACAAACAACAAGGCATGCAATCTTCTGCCTATATGCAGCTGTACAGACACACTTGTATATGCATTCATAGATGTCCTTTATAGTAACAAACACTACACCCCTGTAGGCTCTAGAGTTAATTTCCTCCTGTGTGAGGGGCCATCTGTTCTGTGAGGATGATACACTGACCCTAAGAGGGCCTTATATGATATCACTCGCTGAACTCTGTGTGTGGCTTTCCGTCTCTAATAAATCAATAAAGATGGAAATATATAAAGCGCAACATCAGAATAGTCTTTAGAGTACCAAGTTTAATTTTGTTGTTTTTCTTTTCTTTTTTTTCCCCCTTTTATTGTGTTTATAGTGTTTTTGTTCTATTTAATTACACAGTAAAACATTAATTAAACAGTTATGTCCAATTGCACTTGTTTTTTAATTTATTTCTTTTTCTTTTTTGTATATTTAACTACATTTTAAAACATGGGTTATATTAAATTTTTGAATGGACATCTGTTTGTTTTGAATTAAATTGATAATTTATTCCTGCATTTTATCCAATTTATTTGACAATTTTATTTAAATATAATATATTTTAGCATAAATGTTTTTTTTGGTCATTTAGCTCATGCAAGCTGGTAGGCCACATTGGACTAGCAACAAACCTGCTATCAAACCATCTTAAGATGGTGAAGCTGGTTTTTGGAACATGGTCATTATGGGTCAGCCAACCTACTAGAAACCAGCTATATATAAAATATAAAATATAGAGGACACAAATTTCCATTAAACCAAAAGGCAAATTCAGATTATTCATATGGTGAACATCTTTTTTTCTGTCATGGGTTTTGGCAGGAATGCTGTATTGAGTAATCAGGATTGGAACTATCAGTTTAATAATTGTGTACACAGTTATATTTAGCCAGGTTTAGTCCCAGAAAACATGCTGTACAAACATTATCTTAAGATGTTGACATTAGTTCAGTGAATGTTTGTCAGGTTGTCGCATTATCTGACTATTGTAGTAAAATGTGTGTAGTTAGTGATGCTAAACAGTCCATTTGTTTAATATTTTCCTTGCAGAAACGCAGCACAACTGAAGCAACTTCAGGATCAGATCCTTCTCGAGCAGCAACAACAGCTTCCTCCTCCTCAGGAAGTCCCGCCTCCATCTCCACCTCTCCCTCCTCCTCCCTCCTTCCAGGAGCTGGAGAGTAGCACCATGCAGACAAGCACCTTCAACTATGCCCGGCCTAAGCAGTTCATTGCTGCACAGAGTCCCACAACAAGCGGGGGATCGATTGGATACAGCACGCAGTCCTCGACCTCCTCGAGCTCCAGTCCGCTGTCCCCTACAATGTCCCACAAACCCTTCAGCCGCGTCACACTTCCGCCCTTCCAGCAGCAGCCGCTACTGTCCAAAGGAAGCAGCGTAGAGTCTCCCAGCTCGCCTTCTTTCCCGCCGCCCCCTCCGCCCTTTCTCAGCTCCAGCACTCTATCCTCTCCTGCTGGCTTGCCACAAGACTTCCCTCCTCCACCTCCACCGCCTCCGCCACCTGTCACGTCGAGCCCCACCCGCTCAGACGCCTCCTCGCCGTTCACATCCACTCCCCACTCACCAGCTGGGTTTCTGGTGTCTGTGCTCCCAGCCACACCAGCTCTGCCACCAGTGAATGCGTTGGGGCTGCCCAAGGGTAATGGCACAGTGTGAGTACCCACAATCATCTGTTTGAGAAACATCCCAAATGCTTTTCGAAGGTGTGCGGTCACCCATCACAGTTTCTTGAAACAAACTTATTACTAAAAAACAATTATCCTAACCTTTATCTCCATACTGAAATATCAGGTTCCTTGTGTTACAACTTAACAAGCTGATTCTCTATACTAAAGACAATAAAGCACTATCAAGGACATAGAGTGAACTCTTGGGCTAATAAGTAATTTGGAGTGCAGCTCTTGCTTTCCAGCTGCATGGAAAACATGTACTGTATGCATTCTTACATGACATGTTTATGGAGACACTGAGATCAATGGGAGCTGAGGAACCTTGAGGGTAAGGACTGTGTATTATAGAGATTTCCTCTCTCATTCTCAAGCCTACAGAAATGTAAAGCACATAGGTTTAGTTGAGAATGAGTGTTTTTATAGGGATAAAAAATCTGATCACTCTCATGCAGTTTGAAGCCTGTATGACCTGCTTTATTCTATTGAACATCAAAGGGGAATTTTTGTACAGAATATCTAAGATGGTCACTGGTCATCTCCTAGCATCAAGCTCCAAAAAGAAAAAACATTTATTTTTGTGTGTCTTGTAATGCATCGCAATGCACCAGATGAATAGGGATAAAAAATCTGATCACTCTCATGCAGTTTGAAGCCTGTATGACCTGCTTTATTCTATTGAACATCAAAGGGGAATTTTTGTACAGAATATCTAAGATGGTCACTGGTCATCTCCTAGCATCAAGCTCCAAAAAGAAAAAAAAAAACATTTATTTTTGTGTGTCTTGTAATGCATCGCAATGCACCAGATGAGTGAGATTTAAGAGCTATGTGGTGGATAAGATTTTGAGATTTTAATTACTATATAAACATTTTTAAGTACTAAAATTACTAAAACTGAAATAAAATCAAAAGCACATAACGTAGCCAAATTACTAAAATTATTACGAAATTATGAAAATATAACTTAAAAACAAATCCAAAATATTAATAAATACTGTAGTAGTTTATAAGTAATATTAAAATGACGCTGGCACAGACAACCTCTGGTCACTGTCCACTTTCATTATATGAATGGTGTTCAACATAGGTTTGTTATTCAAGAAGTGGTAATGGCCCTCTCTGCGTCATACAAACTAAGAGCTATGTGGTGGATAAGATTTTGAGATTTTAATTACTATATATATATATATATATATATATATAAACATTTTTGTTAAGTACTAAAATTACTAAAACTGAAATAAAATCAAAAGCACATAACGTAGCCAAATTACTAAAATTATTACGAAATTATGAAAATATAACTTAAAAACAAATCCAAAATATTAATAAATACTGTAGTAGTTTATAAGTAATATTAAAATGACGCTGGCACAGACAACCTCTGGTCACTGTCCACTTTCATTATATGAATGGTGTTCAACATAGGTTTGTTATTCAAGAAGTGGTAATGGCCCTCTCTGCGTCATACAAACATAATCAACCATATTCTAAAACTGCAAATGATGCACATGCAAGCTGAACAAGAGTTTTTCCAGAGATTTATTTGATGTTGCTCATGATTTATAATTAGGATCTTCAGTGAATATGGTCTTTCTGGTAAAACTTGAGTTTAAAACACTCATCCAGAGTTTTTTTTGTCTTCAAAGCTGCTTCTCCTATCATCCACCTCTTCATCTCCGTTTTCTCCATTATCTTCCACTAGTTAATTTCTCTCTCTCTCTCTCTCTCTCTTTCTTCCTCTCTCTCTTTCTTCCTGGCATTCCAGAGCCAGAGGGGGAAAGATAAGAGACTGCTGTGTAATTTTAAAACACACACAAACCGATAACGAAAATTATTCTTGCTTCCCAGTGCATATGCAAAAAATATGTCCCACGTTCTTCTTGTCAATGCCAACTTTCATATTGCAGTGTATTATAAAAGCTGCGGTTCTGTTCATTTGTTTTGTGTATGTGCTTTAATCCTAGCCTCTGTTTGAAAGGTTTTATGGACCGGGAAATATAACTCTGGAGCAACAGTTTCTCACTTGTCTCTGTGTTTAAGAAATTAAATGCTACAGATCCTGTACTTATAGAAATGCTTAATGTGCTATCGTTTGCTTTGAAGTCTTTTTTCATTATTTTCTGATTGTGTTTTAACAGGGCTTTGCCACGTAAGACTACACCCCGTACACCGCGTATCATCTCTGATTCAGCGATCCAGGGCTCCAAAGACGCCGTTATACAAGATCTGGAGAGAAAACTACGCTTCAAAGAGGAAAGACTCAGCAATGGACAGCAGGTATGTGTGTGAGAGGTCTTATGTTTGTATTACTAAAAAATTACAATACGTCATTAATAGTACTACCACACTAGCCTTACTAGCATTGCCATCTTGAATATAATGTAGTCTAACCAATAACACATGCAGTCATGTTTGAGTATATTTGGTAACTAATTTTCTTTTAAAGGCATAGTTAACCCCCAAAAATGTGTGTAAAAAAAAAAAAAAGTAAACTTCCCCTCAAGCTGTTCTAAAACATTACTGATTTCTGTGGAGTAAAATCAAAAGAAAAGGAACACTGTTCCGTTCCATATAATAGAAGTAAATGGGAACCAATGTTATTTTAGAACTCTATATATGTAGTTACAGTACGTATTAATATTTTGAATTGGCTGTTATTTTTGTATTTTCAGCTAACTTGTAGTTTTTTTTTAAACATTTCTATTTAGCTTTAATTTGTCATTTCTGTTTTAGTTTTAGTAATTTTACTACATTTTAAACTCATTTTAGTTAGTTTCCAAGGCAACATTTCTAATTTAGTTTTATATATATATATATCCCCCCAGCTTTTAGTTATGGAAATGGTTAATACTTTGTTAACAGTAACAAAATTGATGGAAAAAAAGGGGAATAGGGAAAAGGAAGAAAAAAACACTATAAAAGTTGGTCCATCCAACTCAAGCCATAAGATGAGGGAATAGACGCACAAGAACCAGTGGCATTTGATGTTAAATGTAATGTTAAATATCACACTAAGTTCAAATATGTGCTAGGGTAAATTAGGTGAACAGTTGAGTATAACTGAAATTTCTTTCTTTTTTTTCAGTTTTCAATATACATGTTCATTGTAACTTTTCATTCTTACGAAATACAGCTAATAAATGGAGAAAATTACCTTCCACCACCAACTCCTCCAACTAAAATGGTTAATCGCTATAGGAGCTCTAAAATCAACCCACAATGCATAGCAAAAACCCACCACATGTTCAGCATGACTAATAGCCTTGAATTCACTAGTACAGGCCACCAAATAATCATCATGCTTTTGCGTGTATGAGTGTGTTTTCTCACACACTAACCCAGGCTCTGACAGATTAATCCTGCTTGCTTTCAGAGGTTAACCTATGAGGAGAAGATGGCTCGCAGACTGCTGGGTGCTGACAATGCTGCCACAGTGTTTAACACACAACAGGTGGAGGAGGAGCCAGTTACACAGGTATAAACACACACACACACACGTTAACTGAGCTATCTAAATGGGGAGATTACATAGACTACTATTGTTTTAATATACAGGTTGTTATACACTTTAACCTAAACCCACCCCTAACCCTACCCCTCACAGAAAACTTTCTGCATTTTTACTATTTCAAAAGAACTTTGTTTACTTTATTTGTATATCAGTTTTACTAATGAGGATGTCCCAAATGGAGGTTTTTGGCAATTTTGTCAGGTTTTGCTCACTTTTGGGTACAAATTTGTCTCCAAAATATGGTTAAGTAGGTTCACACACACACAAACCCACCTACACAACATCCCCATTGTGTCACAGTAAACAAAGCAGTTGTTTGTAATTGGCTGGTTTTTAAACATGGGTTATAAATAAAAAGCATCCATTACAAATCTGTCCGCATACTTTACATGGACTACTATTGTTTTAATATACAGGTTGTTATACACTTTAACCTAAACCCACCCCTAACCCTACCCCTCACAGAAAACTTTCTGCATTTTTACTATTTCAAAAGAACTTTGTTTACTTTATTTGTATATCAGTTTTACTAATGAGGATGTCCCAAATGGAGGTTTTTGGCAATTTTGTCAGGTTTTGCTCACTTTTGGGTACAAATTTGTCTCCAAAATATGGTTAAGTAGGTTCACACACACACAAACCCACCTACACAACATCCCCATTGTGTCACAGTAAACAAAGCAGTTGTTTGTAATTGGCTGGTTTTTAAACATGGGTTATAAATAAAAAGCATCCATTACAAATCTGTCCGCATACTTTTTCCGATGACTACCAGTGTACGGCTAGGCTGTTGGATATAGTTTAGAGCATTGTGGTTTGCCTGCGTGCTTGTAAATGTGTCTTAATTCGGCTAATAGCTACGAGCTCCCGCATGTGCTTGCACATATGCATTGGGTACATTGCAAAGTGATGTCATTTTGGCGAGGAGAGTCATGTCAGCGAGGCGTTTTGAAGGTGTGTGAGCAGGTAAGATCATAAAAGTAGGATTAGCAGCCCAACACAAATGCACATTGCCAGTAAAGTGTGTGATTGTGCACTTTTGTGCAATTTGGTGTGTAATCTGTGCAGGATGTGACATCATCCTCAATCCCCCTGCCTGTTTTCTGATCTCTTTACAGGAAGGCAGCTCAGCTGACTCAGAGTTTGTCCCTCAAAAGGTTATTCATGCTCATCCCATCTATTACAAACATCAAGCAGCAGCCTGTCTGTTCTTATATTTCGCTCTTCTGTCAGTCTCTCACCGCTGTATTTCCCTTTGCTTCACTCATGAGATCACCCTCAGTTGTTAACTCTGTGTGTGTGTGTGTGTGTGTGTGTGTGTGTGTGGTCACCCCCCTGTTTTGGTCACTACTGTATGTGATTGTGTTTTCTTCTATGTCTCAGTTTATGGAATATTTGCGTCCCGATTAAGCACCGCGGTAAAGTCCTTGACAGCAATATGACCGTGATGACTATTGTACTCTCTGGGAAAATCATCAAAAACAGAGATTTACACTGCAATCTTACTGATCAAATAAGCAGTGTATTAAATATTTGTATTGAACCAAAACTCCTGGAGGGTCCAATATTTGGAAGAAAGTATCGTTTTTGAAAGAAAGAAATACTTTATTTCATCATGGACACATGAAA